GAGGGAGAGGAGCGGACATCCCCGGCTCCCCGCTGTTCCGTGGCGGGGAAGTCCCATCTCCTTACCGCGGCCCCGGCGGGGAGCCCCGGGGTGCAGCTCTCTCCGAGCAGCGCACAGCAGCGCGAGCAGCCGGACTGCGCTGCGGGCCGTGCCGCTGGGCTGGCCCCTTTCCAGCGCTCCCTCTCGTTCCTCTTTGCAAGAACGCTGCCGAGCCTGCAGCCCCTCCCCACCGCCACCCCACGTCGGGACCGAGCCCCCCCGGCGGCACGGGGCGGCGGATGGACCCCGCGGGGGAAAGAGGAGCGAGGGGGAGAAGCGGAGTGGAGTTTGCCGGAGAAGTTGAAACGGTCGCCCGCCCCGGCGGTGACCCTCGCACTTCCCCAGCGTTCCCCCCCCGCACTCGGCGGCTCCCCCGCCCTCCGAGCGCGCGGCCCTACCTTGTGCAGCAGGGCCTCGTTGTAGCCGGCGCCCGCCGAGCCTGCGGCGCGGGGCTCCATGGCCGGGACTCATGGGCCGGCCGCGGCCGCGGGGGGGCGGGCGGGTCCGGGACGCGCCGCTCCCTGCAGCACCGCGGACAGCGGCAGCGCCGCCTCCAGCACCGCGGGCAGCGCCCGGATCCGACCCGCGCCGCGCGGCTCTGCGCTCCGCGCTCCGGCGCCGCCCCTTCGGGCTGCGCTCAGCTCCGTCCCGCTCAGCACGGCTCGGCTCGGCTCGGCTCGGCTCTCTGCGGCCGCTCCCTGGAGCAGCTCCCGGCTCCTCGCCGCTGCCGTGTCCGCCCTGCCCGCGGCCCTCCCCGGTCCCGGGGTTGGGGAGGAGGCGGTCCGGCCCGGGAGCCGGGAAGGCCGCGGGATCGCCCCTCGGCTCGGGCAGCTCCCGCACGACCGCCGGTCCCTCTCTCGTCCTCCCACCTCCGCCGGCGGTTAAATTGCGCCCTGCCCCGCACAGCCCGGGGCTCCCAGCCCGAGGGCGCGGCCGTCTCTCGCCCTCATACCGGGAAACGCTGCTCTCGTTCACCGCCCCCTCCGCGGGAGCTGCCCGAGGGGATGGCAGAGATGCTTCCTGCTGCTCCGACCAACCACTGAGCTGAGAGAACGAGGCCAGGTCCGCTGTGCTGATTGAGCCGTGCTTCGCGCTCAGCTCATCCTCACTCGGTTAGGGAGACCCGAACCGCACAGGGCTTCTCCATCTGACACCTCTCCAGCCATCAACCCACGCCGCCATCGGGCAGAGCACAGCTGCAGGGTCATCGGGGCGGTGGTTGGTGCTGGGCAGACTATTTCAGCTTCTTGGCAACCCCAGGGCTATCTGGTGCCCAGCTGTCCCAGCAGCTTCCCTTTGCAAACACACTGCATTCAGAGAGCAGAGGTAGGAATTTGTTAGGAGAAAAAAAAAAAAAAGAAAAAAAAAAAAAAAAAAAAAAAAAAAAAAAAAAAAAAAAAAAAAAACCAAAAAAGCCACACCCCAAAAATAACACAAATCGTGTTGAGAAACAAGAGGGATCTGTACCTAAACCTGGAGGTGAAAGTAAATAGCTAATTGAGATCCTCTTACCAACAACTCTCTTTAGAACAATCTGGTGCTTTTGATTAGACTGGAAACAAACAAACCTCTGCTGGGAAACTTATTTAAGTTGTGCTGTCCCTGTCCCCACCTTCCGGATCAGCAGACAGCCCCCAGCCGGAGGAGCAGACCGTGTTTCCAAGAGCCATCTGCACCCATTCAATTGCTGGTTTACTGTCTGTGCCTGACATTGCTAATTATATCTACCCATTAATTCCTCTGACAGCAGAGATGGTTCTGCCAGGTCGGAGGATCAGCCTTGGCAACAAAGCTAGAAAAAGAAGAAAATCAACCCAGCGTGCCAGGGGTTTGGGGCTGGCCAAGGCCAGGAACTTGTCCCAACAAAGATGCGTGAAGCCCCCAGAATGGCACCAGGTCTGAAGCTGCAGTCCTGCTCACTTCAGGGTGGGGGTTCCTGGCACATCTCTGCTGCAGGAAGGGCTTGCAGGACGTTCTCTGGCTGCTCTCCATTCCAGCAATATTTGTTCTCATTTCCTGAGTCATGAAGGAGAGCAGTGAGGAGCGAGGAGCCGGCGGGAGGCATGGCCCCGGGCTCTGCTGTCCCACATGGGCACTGCTGGGGATGTGCTCAGCCCTGCAGGGCTGACAGTGCAGGGGAGAAAAGCTTTCCTCCTTCATTGTGCTACTGCCAAACGTGGTGCTGCTCTACCAGGCAGAGCGGATCGCTGGCAGAAGGGAGGCAGGAGCAGTGAGAAGCACACAGCTCTCCAGCAGCACGGGTGGGCGCTGCTCCAAAGGCTGTGTGACACTTTATGGCTGCTGAGGACCTGACCTGTTACAGATAAGTGATGTCAGCAGCTTAATTGGAGCTCGGCAGCCTGACACCCGGAGCACCCCCTGTCCTTTACACAAGGACTGCCTTTCCCCACCTCAGAAGATAACATAAAATAGAACTCCAACCTTTCCAGCCCCTCACAGACCTGAGCAGAGGCTCCTGGTGGCCGCAGAGCACTTTATGGCCCCGTGTGGGTGCTGAGCAGCTGGAATCAGTGCAGGTCAGTGAAATGAGAGGAGATGGACTGCAAATGACAGGAGCGATGTCAAGTGAGCCTGCCTATTGCCCGGCCTTGCTTGTTGGCAGGCCATACCTCTGATCATCTACGTGTCTATTTGCCCTTGGAAGGTTCTGGAAGGTTCTGGGCACTGTAAGGTCCATGTCCTGCTGCTCTGTCTCCCTTTCCCACTCCCACTCATTCTCTGCTGCCCAACCCCATTAATTGTCTCTCTGTCCACTGAGCTGCTTGTGCAATGCCGTGTGAGCCCTGCTGAAGCTGTTCCTTCTCCTAAAACAGGAAAAACCAGATCTTTTCCACGCTGCATCTGTTAAGTTTTGCTTCCTGAATTTCGCTGCAATAACAAGTCCCTGGTTTACAGCCTTTCTGGCTAAGTCAGCCCGAGGCACGGCCCACAGCAAGGCCTTCATTGCAATGCTGCCCGCAAGGATCTCTCTTTTGCTAGCTTTTCTAAATCAGCACATCTGAGGATGATTTGGGTTTATCTGGGGTATCAGAGATGGCAGCGGAACAGAGCGATCAGATGCTGTGTGCTCCATCAGCCAACGGAGCCGTGTTAGCTACAGCAACATTCAGCCTTATCTCAGCAGGACAATTCCACCTAAGTGTGCAAAGCAGAACATGAAAGTGCTGTCTGGAAAGTGCAGATTGTTTTTCAAAGCCACCAGATGGAATAAGAGAATCTGGGGTTAGGAAATGCCACTGAAGCCAAGAGCAGAGGAGGGTCTGACACAGTCGAGGTGCTGCTGTGAGGTATGCAGCAATGGGAGCTGTTGGTTCAGGGCTCCCGGGAGCTCTCACACAATCGTGCATCAGCTGAGTCAATTTCTGCCCATCCCAGCAGTGCTTGCAGTCTTCTTGCTAAGGCCACTGCCAGGGCAGAACCCACCGCACATCTCAGAGGTGTCCGACTGCATCAGCCTTGTCCCACGGCCACAGAGCAGCGGCTGCAGGAGGGCCCTATGGCCAGCTCTGCTCCAGCTCCAAACGTGGCCAAGAGGAACGCACTGCTTTGTGCCTGTCAGGATGCATCACTGGGCACCGAGCAGCGCTTCAGCAGCACTGCTTCTCTGAGGCAGCATCCCTGCCCTGAGCTGCTCTGCTCCTCACTGCTCAGTGCAGGACTCCGGCTCTTCTCTGACCGCATCCGTCCCAGAAACAGAACCTGAAACAGAAAATGAAGGGGAAGCAATACTTCTTATCTGATGAGAACAGCAAGGATGTGCTTGGAAAATTGCTCCCATGATCTCTAGAAAAGCAGCTTTCGGAAGAAACGCTTCTGACTGCTTTCAGGTCACTGAGCTGCCCTGGGAATTCTCCATCAGCAAATGCCTTTGTAGGCACTCACCCTGTGCTGTGTTCCATGCAGAGCCGCTGCCTCTGAGCCTGTGCCACACCAGCAACACGTGCAGCCTCTGTGCCCCTCCGCGTGCAGACACAGAGCAGTGCAGGCTCACTTGTTCACCACCTTTCCTGCCCGGTGGTTTCTGGTCAGCTGATGCCTTTGTTTGGTTTATGAAGAACTCGGGCATTCCCCACACCTCAGTGTCGCAATATTTCAGCATCTCTTGCATGCAGCCAGCAGTGCCATTGCCCTACTTGTGTTGGGGCTTGCTCCTGTATTGGTGCTTCTGCATGTGCTTGTGTTCATCCTGGTGTCTGAGCTTCTCCAATTCTCCGGTTCAGGGGAATGAAAAGAGAGGCAGAGCTCCCTCTTACAGCATGGAAGGCCTTGCCCTGTCTCTTCAGTCCATCTCCACGAGGTCTCTCTGTGAGAAATTAGAAATGTGAGACATTTGCCATGTGTTGGTGTTCACAGCAGTGCTGTGTGCTGCCCCTGCAGCAGCGATGTGGGTGAGGTCCCCCCGTGCCACCCCGCTGTGCTCTGTGGGCTCTGCATCCTCACACCCCAGTCAGGCTCAGGGAAGGCTGCACTTTGCTGCCTCCCCTCCCTGCTGACCCCGAGCACAAGGCCTCAATGCCTCCAGGTGGGTCAGTTTGAAAAACTCGGAGGCTCGTTTCCCACAGCAGACAAATCCCCGGCCCCTGGCTGAAGCTCTCCCAGACAAAAATAACCCAACCAGAGCCGTGTGCTGTAACTCAGTTTGAACAAGGAAGCCGCAGACAAGCAGAGCTGCGCGCCATCTCAGCATCCTCTCAGTCCCGCTGCAGCACAGCGCACACCGTGCTCCTGGCTGGTGCCAGCGGGGTGGAGCAGGAGGATGGGGGTACGGACAGGATGGGGCTGGCTCCTTCTCCCAGGTGAGGATGGGCAGAGCTGAGGGGCCGGGGCTGCTGCTCCCACAGGTGTGGGTTCCCTTTGGGCGTCAGCCCCGGGGCGGCCGCTCGGCCCTGTGGGGATAAGCAGGCAGCCAGGGCCCCCAAGAGGTGCCGGTTCCTCTCTGCTGTGCAGGAGCACCTCGGGGGAAGGCGGCCCGCACACTGATGTGCTGTTTCTCTCCCTTGGTGCTGTGGGGATTCTCTGCAGTTTGCCAGGCTCTGGTTGTCTCCAGGGAGGTGAGCGGCCGGGAGGGCGAGACGCTTTCCCTGCGCTGTTGGTACGCGAGGGGCTACGAGGGCTACAACAAGTACTGGTGCCGCGGGGCCGCGCGGGGCTCCTGCCACAAAGTGGTGGAGACTGCGGGGCGAGAAGTGCCGCGCCAGGACGGCCGCGTCTCCATCACGGACAACCACGTCTTCTGCGTGGTGCTGCTCACCGTGGAGGAGCTCTGCATGGAGGACGCTGGGAGCTACTGGTGCGGGGTGGAGCGGGCAGGCAGGGACATCATGGAGCCGGTCACCGTGAGGGTGAGACCAGGTGAGCGCTGGCATCGAGTTGGCTCGTGTTTGTGCTGGGCAGAGGGCGGGGGGCCGCTGGGTCGCGCCAGGAAGGAACGGTGATGTGGGGAACAGCCCCTCAGCCCTGCTGCAGTTACAGCAGTTGGCACCCGGTGTAAAGCAGCAGCAGGGTTGGCAGGAGATGGGTTGGTGCTCACAGATGGATGCGGAGCGCTGGAGACCCGTGCAGGGTTTGCAGCACCGTGGCTGCCTGGGCTCCAGCATGGACTGCACGCAGGAAGGACGGAAATCCGCTGCCTAAAATCGGCAGCGAGAGCCTGCGGCTGAGCCACAGTGCTGCAGCCAGAGAGCCTGCAGGGCCTCTGAAAATGAAAGCAGGGCTGTGACACAACGTCTGAGTTTGTAGCTGAGGAAAAGGGGCAGATCCAACTCCTCCAGCTTTGGGAAAGCTCCGTTTCACGGCTGTCAGATTGATGCTGGGAATGGCATCCCACAGGGATGTGGGCAGGGTAGGGGTAAGCACTCACCTCCTGCCAGCTGAGGTGTAGGGGCTTGAGCTCCCCTCCAGGGCACAACTCCCACCAAGGCCGTCCCTGATACAGCCATACCCACAGCTCCCAGCCCTGAGCCCTGGCTCTCCAACACCACAACGGAGTTCCCCCACACTACGAACATCTCTGCTGCAGGGTGAGTCCATGGCAGGGAGGGTGGTGGGGTCACAGTGATTGGGCTCCACATTCCCAGCATGGTGGGTCATGGACACACGATGCAGCCCATGTGCTCTGGGGCAAAGCAGCAGCAGGGACTGAAGCGTGATCTCAGGCTGCTTGCCCTGCTTTGTGGTCCATCCCACAGTGCGGGGCTGCAGAAGGAAAACACCAGCCTTCAGAAGGGTCAGGAACAGCCCCCCTCCTCTCCTCCCAACCTCTCCAGGCCAGCCCTGCAGGTCCTGCTGCCCACAGTGTTGCTGCTGCTCCTCCTGGCTGTGGCTGGCTCTGCTGGGCTCATCCACGCCCTGCGGAGGAGGAGAAGTAAGGAAGGTAAAGGCACTGGAGCACGACTAGGATTCCCTGTCCAGAGGGGACAAGGCACGATCCCAGCCTTACCTCCCTGAGGAATGTGAGCTTTGATGGTCCCTTCTCCCTGACTCCAGTCCTACAGAAACCCCTGGGGTTGGTGGGAAGCTCCCAGCTGCGCTCACCGGCAGTGCAGGCACAGCAGCACCATCAGGTAAGTGCACAACTGCCCCATGGAGCCACAGCCCTCCAAACGTCCCCTGTAGCTCCAGGCCGCTGCGGCTGCACAGGGGCAGGGCTGAAAGCAGTGGGGACACGAGTGGGGCCGTGACCCACACTGCAGCCCGGTGCTGGACAGGCTGCTGGGGACACCCCACCGCCTCGCACCAAAGGCCTCGCAGCCCCCAAACAGCCGGGAGATACCGCAGAGCTGAACAGCATCTACGACAATGAGCTGCACCTCAGGAAGGTGAGAGCCCGGCCCAGGCAGTGCTGATGCTGCAGGGAGGTTTGTGCAGCACGGGCAGGGGCCACGCAGGTCGGCAACCCCCAGGGCACCCGCACTGACAGCAGTGACACAGAGGAGCAGCGCAGTGAGCTGGGGGACGACGGAGTCTACGTCAACAGCTGATGCTCGAGAGGATTCCCTGCAGTCCTTATGGGACGTCGCTTGTGGGCGTCGCTTCAGGCTTTGCTCTGAGCGGGGCAGGGAGCAGCAGCCCCCTCCCCGTGTCCTCGCTGCAGTCTCAGCAGTGTGACGGCCTCTGCCATGGGGCTCTGGCCCTGCTCCAGCCCAGCTTCCCTCCTCTGCTTTGCTGCTGTGGATTGAGCGGTGCCCCCAGGATGGGAGGAACCCAGATCCCCATTCCTTTGTATGCTGATGCACGGGGCATCCTCCTGGCTTGGCAGCACGTGGGTTGCTTTAGATGTATGTAAACAGCAATAAAAAAACACCCTACAGGACTCAGTGCAGAGAGATGAAGATCCTGAAGTGAAACAAGGGCACACGGCTGGTGCTGGGGCTGTCAGTGAGTGGACAGGGTGAGCAGGGAGAGGGGAGTGGAAACAGCACGGGGATCAAGGAAAACCAGAGGTGAATGGGGATGGGGCAGCAGCTGAGGCTTCACTGCCCAGGATTCCCCATGAGTTTTATCAGCAAAAACATGCTAGCAGTCATCGGCCATGTCTTGAACTTAGAACATGCTGCTGTGTGCACTGACCTGCGGCCAGAAGGGTGGAAGCTGCTCACAGCCAAACTGCCCCAGGTCCCTGGGAACGGGGCTACGAGGAACAAAATGCAGAGCTTCCTCTTTCTGTGCCAGGGAAGGGCATGGGAGAGCGTGGGGCAAACGGGCAGGGTGGGAAGGAGCTGCCCTGAGGTCTTTTCAAGGGGCACTGAGGAAGAAAGGCACTGGAAGGACACAGCCGTGCTTTGTGCAGACTGTTTGGGTTCTGAAATTTTGCTGGAAACATTTAGAGAGAAAAACAATGTCACCCAGAAAACACATTTGTGCCAAAAAAGGCACCTTTCTGGGGAAGCAAGGCACTTCTGCTTGATGCACCAAACAAAGGCAGCCGCCCTCGCTGTGCCAGCAGTGGGGATCTGCGCTGGGGGTTTGCACTGAGTTGGGGCTGGGGGTGGCAAAAGCCCCTCTGCTGGGCCCCCGAATCCCTCTGGGCTGCTGGGATGGGCGCCACGGCTGGGAAAGCTCTCTGCATTATGGTGCTTTGCTGGAAACTGGTGGTGGTTCCAGAGAAGGGTCATGAGATCAGAGTGACTCACGGATAGGAGGAAGGAAGCAAATGCCTTTAAAAAAGACATACGGGGTCTCAAGCAAACATTGCCCAGGGAAACAGGCTTGGGAACCTCCTGGGCACACAGCAGCCTGCTCCGTCCGCCAGGAGCTCTGTGAATCACCTTGGGGAAAGGTCCATGTCAGGAGGGAGAAGCTGAAAAATGAGGATTATTCTGGTTTGGATGATTTTCCCAGGTAAGTGTGGGTCATGTTTGGGTCAGGGGAGGCAGAGGGGTGCAGCCGTGCAGCCAGGGGTGCCCACCACGCTGTGGGGCACAGCTCTGTTGCCGCCATCCTCCCCTGGCAGCTGCAGCACCCGGACAACTCCAGCCTGCGCTACCCCTTGTATTGCTGCTACAAGAGGCTTCTTCTGGCTTGCCACCATGCTCACTGGGGGCTCTGTTCTTAAGGCTGGGGACATCCCTCAGCGCTGGCTGAGCTCACCGCCCCTCTCCTGTCCCCTGCAGGTGTCTGGGCGGTCTCAGGTCCCTCGCAGGTGACGGCCAGCCAGGGCAGCTCGCTGTCGGTGTCCTGCAGCTATCGGCTGGGCAGCAAGCTCCACTCCAAGGTCTGGTGCAAACCATACTTTTTCAAGATCTTCTGCTCCTACATGGCCCAAACCAATGGCTCAGAGGCGGCGATGACACAGGGCAGGGTGTCCATCAGGGACAACCACACGGCTCTTGTATTCACGGTGACGATGAGAGATGTGATGCCGGAGGATGCAGGCTGGTACTACTGCGGGGCGGTGAAGTCCCTGTGGCACATCACAGGCAATCGGTGGCACAAAACCGAGGTGCTCGTGTCTGAGGGTAAGGCAGAGGGTGCCCGGGGCTGGTGCTGGAGGAGGCAGAGGGAGGATGGAAAGCACTGCACAGAGCAGAACTCTCCCTCCCTCCTTGGTAATGTCTCTGCTCCTCTGAGCCCACCCTTAAGGTTTCCAGTTCTCTCCAGCAGACACTCTTTTTCTCTGGCTCCTGGGTGTGCCTGCACCACATCACAGCAGTGATGCTCTTCTCTTGCATAACGTTTCTCCAAGTAAAACATAAACATCCTATTTCAGAGCATTGTGCCATCAGTTCTTCCACTGTGGTTTTTTTCTGCAGCTCTCAGCACTTTCCTTACGCCCACAGGGATGGAGCTGACCCCGAGCAGCAGTGCTGTGCTGGGTGCTGGGCCGGCACAGGGTGATGCCCACAGCCCTACAGGGGCCACGGACCCCCTCCATCTCCTCCAAGGTCCCTGGATGGTGACCCAGGGATGGGCTGTGGGGATCCTGCATTGACTCTCTGCCTTCTCTGCACTCGTTTCAGCCACAGCCGAGGCCGGCGATGTGCACCCGCTGCCAAAGGCAGAGCCATCCCCCACTGGCTGCGAGGAGCCTCCAGCACTGTGAGTTGGGGCTCGGGGTCACACTGGCTGCGGCCACTCCCAGGGCATCCCGCAGGGTGAGCGGGTGGAGGCTGGGCACGGGGATGCTGCAGCCCGCATCTTCCTTGCCCAGACCTGGTACAAGCTCTGTTGTTGTCTCGCTTCTCCTCCCCAGGTCCCAGCTCGACATCACCCTCCTGCTGCTCGTCCTCGGTGTGAAGGTGCCTGCGATCCTGGCCCTGCTGTGCGGGGCCGTGTGGCTGAGGAGGTGGCACAGGAGCTGCAGCCCGTGGGAAAACCTGCAGCAATCTGAGAAGTCCAGCAGCACTGCGGCACCGGGCAGCTCGGCCCCCCAGCAGCCTGACCCCCCGGCAGCACCACAGCGTCCTTCTGGTCCCCTTCCCCACACCCTGCCAGGGCTGAGCCACTGCAGCTGCTCAGCATCAGGAAGCTCTCCCCATGCAAAGCCTCAGCCCCTCCTGATGCCCCCCAAGTTGCACGAGGGAAGGATTTCTGTGCAGAGATCTCGTGTCTGCTGAGCTTGAGGTGCCACCAAAAACCAATTTTGAAACAAAGCCTGGGTATCCTGCAGGTGTCTGTCTGTCTGTCTATCTCCAGCACTGGCTGGGGCTCCAGGGGCTGCTGACACAAACGTGTGGGGCTGTGCTGCTGTGCGGGGAGCCTCAGCTGGGGGGGCATGGTGTCACATGGGAGCCGTGCACTGCAGCCTGACTGAGCTGCCCACAATTTCAGTCCTGCCCCATGCAGCCACGCACCCACAACTGGCTGAGTTGCGTCTTTCCATGGCAGGACTGCCCATCCTGAGCCCAGGGCTCACAGCACACCTGGCTGCAGCGCTGCCTCCTCCCCTCGCTGCACTCCATCCATGGCTCTGCACCCATCCGCTGCTGAGCTCCACCAGGGATCGCACTCCTTCCCATGTTCTGTGCTTGGCGGCAGCAGAAGCAGTGCTGCCATTCACATGGGGCCCCTCAGTGCACATTGAGTCCTCTGTCAGGACATTTTTTGTGTCACAGAAGATAACTTGCCCAAACGGAGCTGGGGGAACCCCATCAGCCTGATGGAACCCCACTGCATGGGCATGCTGAGCCCAACCTGTCCTCCAGGGCAACGGCAAGGTGCATGAGGGACTGCGGGGGATGAGGTCTGGGGATGGGTAGAGGCCTGGAGACACACAACTGAGGAAGAGGATTGTGATGGGTGAGGGTGATGTTGGGGTGGAAGCTGGGCAGCGAGGCTCAGGGGGTGGGAACTGAGCGCTGCTGGTGACAGAGGGATGAAGGAAATGAACTGAGAGCAGAGGAAACCAGAACTGCACATTGCAGTCCGACTTCTGCAAGTGCCTGGCCGTGAATCAAGCAGAAAGGGGAAGGCACAGCCCTGAAGGACAGGCACAGAGCACGATCTGCACGAGGGCTGCGCGGGGCAGAAGTGCAGCCGGTGCGGCCATGCGGCTGCTGCCGCTGCTCTGCTGCGCGGCTCTGTGCCTCCCCGGTCGTGCGGTTACCCGGCCGGTGCGGGGACCCGGCACCGTGGTGGGGTACATCGGGGGGTCCCTCTCGGTGTCCTGCTTCTACCAGGAGAGGTACGAGAAGTACCCGAAATACTGGTGCTACCCTGGGACGATTAAGAGCTGCTCGTATAACACCCACCTCGTCATCACGTCGGAGCAGCAGCCCTGGGCTCAGTGGGGCCGAAGCTCCATCTGGGACAACCGCACGGCGCGGGTGTTCACTGTGACCGTGAGGGACCTGACTGCGGGGGATGCGGGCGCCTACCGCTGCGGGGTGCGAACACACCTATGGCAGATGGATGTCGCCGATGAGGTGCGGGTCATCGTGTTGCCAGGTCAGTACCTGTGGGTCTGACGTTCCCCCCGTGCCCAAGGAGAAGTGCCAGGAGCAGGGCTGTGTGATGCAGCTGCCGGGAGGAGGTGGGCACCCAACAAGGAGCTGCCCTGGGATGCGTCACCAGGCTGTGCAGGCTGCCACCATGATAGGGGTCTCGGTACAGCCACTTTTTCTGCCCCTCCTTCAGCTACCCCCCTCTCTGCAGGGCATCACCCTGCTCTCATGCTCCATTTTCACTCTGCTCTGATCCCACTGGCTCTCCCTGTGCTCCCCTGGCCCACGTGTTGTGCCACCCTGGAGTCCCTCATTCCCGCCCCATTTCCCACCGAGGAGCACCAGACCCCCGGATCAGGGCCATGCAGTACCACTGCTGGGGTGTGTGTGTGTGCTGGGGGGACTGGGACTGCTGGGCCCCGCTGCAGCTCTGGGGAGGGGGCTTAGAGCCTCAGCTCTGGGGCTGTGTGCTCTGTGCAGAGGGGACTCTGTGTCCCTGGGGTGACTCTGAGTGCACCACCTCCAACTCTCCCAGCCTGCAGCATTTCCCATGGAGGCAGGCAGATGTGCTGAGCGCTTCCTATTCTTTCACAGGTCCTACCTCAGCATCACCCTCCACATCAGCCATTACCCCTGGCCCCATTTCGGGCCCCACATGTACGCCTTCCCAGCAGGAAACTGCAGAGCAGACCACACACCCCTCTTCCTCTGGAGACCTCAGTGAAGGGCAGTGAGTACCACTCGTGGTCCACACTCAGGCTTAGACCTCCTGCCTTTGCCTTCAGAAGGCAGCCTTGTGTCCTGTCAGAAGCTGCTCAGTGCAGACAGCAATGTGGGACCTGGCAGAGACACACCTGCCTGCTGGTGTTGAGCAGCAGGAGGAAGCAACAGGTCATGGCTGTGTGAGAAGAGAGCTTGAGCTGCACCACTGATCCCATTTCCTTCCTCATATCTCGAAGGGGTGTTTGCTTATGGGAAGCCGCTTGTGCGCTGAGCTGGGTGCTGTTCTGCTTTGCAGTCACACATGGCCTCGCAGGGGCTGCTCAAGGGGCAGCAGCAGAGCTTCCCTTTTCCTCCGTCTCTCAGAGGTGATGCAAGATGTGGGGAAGGCTGAGGTTCCCATCAGTATGGGTGATCTCCTTCTCTAAACCCATCCCCTCGACACAGTGACTGTGCCTTTGCTGGCAGCAAAGCAGGTCACCAAACAATGCATCCAAACCGGAGCAGAACAATAGAGAGGCAGTGGCAATAAGTGGTTCTTAAAACACTGGAGGTGCTGCAGCTCTCAGAACGGTGTCCCATTTGCTGCTGCTCCTTGCAGGCCGAGGACCACCTGCCTGCTTCCCTTGCTCTCCAGGCAAGCCCTTTGCCCACAGCCATGACCAAGCCGAGCAAAGAGAGCAAAGTGAGCAGGAGCAGCTGCCCACATGCCTGCTCTGCAGTGGTTGCTGCTGGCTTTGCTGCTGAGCAGAGTGAGAGAACAGAAACTCTTTCCTCTTGCAGGTTGGACGTAGTCATGGGCATCCTCATCCCATGCATCGCGGTGGTTCTGTTTTTCCTCACACTTGCTGCTACCGTTTTGGTAATTCTGTCCTGGAAGAGGAAGAAGGGTGAGCGAAGCTGTCACCAGTGCCTTTTTCTGTCTAGATTTGGTGTGAATTTTGGTGCCAGCACAGGGAGGGGCAGAGGGCCGCCAGCTTTCTGCTGGATCTGCGTTTGTTGCAGAGCTGCTTCGGGCCAGGCGCCCCGGGTCCCTTCCTGCTCTGCAGTGAGGCTGGCTGCAGCAGCGCAGGGTTTCACACGCTGCTGTTCCTCTGCTTTCCCTTTTGTCTGACCATGACTGCATCTCACACAGCCCTCGCAGGAGCACCCATCGAGATGGGCAGCACTCGTGGCACAGCTGACGCGGTAAGGCGAACAGCACGGGCCTGGGGAGCTGTGCGGGAAGGGGGAAGCGCTGCACTCTGTGCTCCTGCCTCCATCCCAGCACTGATCACTGAGGGCAGTGGGATGGGAGGTGCTGGAAGTGCACCCCGACTCTTCTCGGTTGGTTGCAGGAGGTGCTGCAGTACGCGGATATCAGCCACGTGGGCACGGAGCAGAGCCATCCGTACAGCAACGTCAGGGCTGCCCCTGCATCCCCACAGGCAGCCACTGAATATTCCGAGGTCAAGAAGCCGTGGCAGGTGGGAAAGCTCAAGAAAGCAGCAGGAAGAAATCTCGCTTGGGGGCTGTAATGGGGGGAGCTGGTGCGGGGCAGGGCTGGGTCGGATGGGCGGGTAATAGTGGTGGATAATTGCCACAGATAATGAGGCTGCCCTCCTGCTCTCTGGTCCTGCAGCTGCAGTGGGCGCTTGAAAGGGATGGAAGAGGCTCTGGCAGATGGATGTTCCTTGGAGAAACCACGCCAATCGTTTTTTATGTTTTTTCCCTCTTTCCCAGGATTTAAAAGGGAGTACAGAGAGCCTTTATGTACAGGTGTGCAAAATCCCTCCCGAGGAGCAGGAACAGCTCTATGCCAACATGGCTCCCAGGCAGCAGAGTGCAGCACAGTGAGGATGGGGAGCCAGCACTGCTGTCTGCTGGGAGCTGCTTGGGACACTGAGACCCACTCGGGGGCGTCAGGACAGTGTGTGGGGCAGCCAGGAACCGGCTGCATGTCAGAGCTGCTGCTTTCCTAGGCTGCGCTGCTTCTTTGGTACCAAGACAGGCGGAGGTTGAGCAAGAGGCGACAACGTCACTCCCTGCGTTCAGAGACCTCGTGCCCCACGTGGCAACCGTGCTGGGAGCAGAAAATGGTCCCTGCACTTGTGCGGCCCCTGCTGGGAGGGCGGCCGGCAGCGATGCTCCCATTCGTCCCGCACGGCCGCTGGGAAACAGCCGCTCACATCCCCGCGCTCCCCAGGGCGGCTCCGTGCCCCAAGGCCCCGCTGGGAGCGCACCCTGACGGGCCGCGGCTCAGCCCCCCCCCCTCAGCCCATCATTCACTCCCGGGCGCCCACTCGACGCATTATTCTCCATAAAACATCTCTCTCAATTAACGCAGCTGATACTTCGGTGAATCCGTGGATAACTCCGGGGAGCCGGGCCCCGTTCCACCGCATCTGGGGGTAATTTTCACAGCAAGAGCTGCTAAGAGCCGCTGCCGGGGGACAGCGGGCGCTGCGGGGCCAGCAGCCGCCCGAGATCTCAGTACAGACGGGGCGGAGACCCGCACAGCCGCCTCGTGGGGCCGGAAAGCTCCGGCGCACCCTGCAGCCCTCCGCCTCCGGCGGCACCGCAGGACGCGAGGCGCGCCCCCGCACACGAGCACGCGCACGGCCTGCCGCACACGTGGACGCGCGCAGCGCACGCGCAGGAAGGGATCGCTGCACGCGCGCACACGCGTCCGCTCCTCAGCAGCGCGCACGCGCTCCGGCACGCGCGCCCCCGCCCCTGGAGCTCGCGCGCCGTGCCCGCGCCTTTGGCCCCGCCCGCCTCCGGCCGCGCGTGCGCGCCGCAGCCCGCCCCGCGCCGGCGGAGCGGCCGTGACGATGGGGGCGAGCGCCCGGGTGCGGAAGCTGGCCCGGCGGTACCGGCTGGCCGTGGCCACGGCCCTCGCCATCCTCCTGCTGCAGGGGCTCGTGCTCTGGAGCTCCGCCGGCCTCGACGAGGAGGGCCCGGCCGAGGTGCGGAGCGGGGGGACGGAGAACGGACCGGGCCGGGCCCGGGGCGGGGGGCGGGCCGGGGCCGCGGCCGCCGGTGGGCTCGGAGGCTCCGCTCGGGGCGCGGCCGGGCGGGGGCTGCGGGGTCGTTTGGGGCCGCGGGGGGTCCGGGCGCTGTGCTGCGGGCCGCGGGTCTGCGCGGTGTGCGGAGGGGAGGCGCGGAGCGGAGCGCGGGGCTGCGGAGCGCGGTGCCCGTGTGACGCTGCCCGCAGCCCCGACCTTCTCGTGCCTCGGGACGGCGCCGGCAGCGCGTTTTGCCTCGCGATCGCGCGGGAAGCTGAGGCGGGGGCTGCGGGCAGGGCCGGCGCGTGCGGTCGTCGCTTCCACCTCCCGGCGGAGCTCTTCGCCTCCGGGCCGTTCGTGGCGTTGCGTTTATTTGTCGAGAGCCGCTCCGCTGTGCCCGGGCCTGGCCTGCTGCAGGGGGCGAGCGGCAGCGACGGCTCGTAACGCTGAGCGCAAAGGGAGGGGAGGGGAAGCAAGGAAGGAAAGGAAGGAAAGGAGCTGCTCACCTCCGCTCCGTTGCCGCCTCCCTGGCTGCTGGAGCCGCCCCTGCGGCCGCAGGAGTTTCCCTGGACTAGAAACTTCTCCCCCGAGGGCAAAAAGGAATGGAGCAGCTACTGCAAGGAAGCAGGAGGAAGGTCTGTGGGTTGGTCACACGGCCAGCAGGTCGATCGCCAGCCCCAGGGCTGGGTGAGCACAGCAGTGAGTCAGAACCGGGATGTGGCAAGGAGAGCGGACACGGAGTTACCTTTGATTTGAAGATGCTGTGAGTGTGTGAGCTGTGCAGCCAGGTGTGACCGACAGCCCTGTCCTCTTTCCCTGACCTTGGCTGGACACTCATCCCAGCTGCCCTTTCTCTCTCTGCACCGGCCTACGCTGCTCCCCTGTCTGCCGTTATCACTTGGGCAGGCAGTTCCTGGTGCCACTGTGATCAGCTCTGCCTGCCTTTGCTCCTGCCCTGCGCAGCCTCCTTATTCCTCCTGCTTTCCTCGTGCCTCCCCCAGCACCGAGCTGGGCACTGACAGGTTTGGCTGTGGGCAGCCTCGTCTGTACTGGGGACAATTCGCCGCCACCAGTCTCACAGCTCATAAGATGGGAATGGAGAAGCCTCTCTGGAGAATGCAAGAAGCCTCATGAACTTCACTGACAGCTCAAACCCATCAGCAAGCTTGGAAGAATGCAGTAAACTGTTTTAGAAAGACAACAAAGCTCTTTGGTTCTGTGCCCTCCTGCAGTTTCTGCTTTTGGCCAGACCTGGAGGAGCCACTGTTCCCTGGGGTATTTCTGGTAGACATGAAGGCAGAACTCTCCCTGGAGTACCTGACTTTGCAGGCTTGGTTGGATCTGGGAAACGCTGGGATCTAATTGCTTGAGTAAATGGCTCCTTCCCACTAATGGACACTGCTCTAGCCTGGCTCATCCCCACCACAAGCCAACTGTGACTCGCAGGAGTGAGCACACGACCACAGAGCATCTTTGTGGGTGGAGGTGAGGAGCTGTCACTGGGGAGAGGTGTTGCAGCCCATTCACGTGGGGATGCAGGATGGAGGAAGTGACCACTGGCAGGTGGCTGGAGTCGTCCATGTGTGCAGGGAGGAGGGACGGGCAGCTGCTGGCGCTCCCAGGAGCTCTGCCAGAGAGTCCTGTGCATGAGCCCTAAATACAGCAGAGCAACGTGGCTGAAGCTGTTCTCTGCCTGGCTGGGTGGAGGGATGGCTCTGCTGTGGTGCAGTAATTAGAAGCCATTCAGTTTGTTAGCTGGCAGCTCCAGAAAGGCTGGTGGTGTTTCTGAGGAATTCCCTGCTGTGAATAGCAGCTGAGTTCCTTCCAGGGGACACGTGGGGTGCTGTGTGTGGGCGCCGTGCCGAGGCGTGCTGGCAGGGCCACAGGGTCTTCCTGCAGGGCTGGGCTGAGTCTGTGGAGGAGACTCTTTTCTCATCACTTTCTGACTCCCTGCTCCTGTGACACGCAGAGGAAACAGGTCCATAACTCTCCAAACAGACGGGCCTGTGCTGTGCTAATGAGCTGCTCCCGCCTGTCAGGGGCTGGCGGTGGCGCCTGGCTGTGTGGCAGTGGGCTCACCTGTCCCTGCTCACCGTCAGCCCTGCGGGAGCCACGCAGCCCTGCGGCCCCTTCCTGCATGGCTGAGGATTGCAGGCTGTGGGAGACCATTCAGCCCAGCACAGGGAGCTCAGGGACAGCATGCTGGCTCTGCCTGTCGGCTGCTCACACAGGCTGGCTGGAACAGGCAGGTCTTGCCAGATGCTTTCTAGCCTTTGCGCAGCGTGATTTCTCCTGGCTGTGACCTTCCTGGCAGCTATGCCTGCAGGGAGGCTTGTGCAGCAAATTAACTTGGTCTCACCATCTCCGTGAGCATCTGTGCATCCTCAGAAGATGCTGCTCCCCCAGAGAAGCTCCCAGCAGGTCTCGCTGCCTGCGGTGACACCGGTTGGTGCTGTGCCGGTGGCCGTGCCAGCTAAAGCCCTTCCCCAGCCCTGGCCAGAACAACTCAGGGGCTCTGAGTGCATCTGATGGTGTCTGTCGTGCCAACCCCGCGGGCAGCTCCACTCCTTGGCCCTGCAGCTGCCTCCCTCATTGCTACCATCCAGACTCCTATGTGTCCAGGAACAACTCTTCGCTCTTCCCACGTCTAACTCATTTCTGCTAATCAGCCAGCCTGGCAGAGGTAATGAAGTGCAATTAACTTCCCTCTGCACACACTTGGCTCCTTGGGAAGATTTGTTAAAGGGATTTCTAGAGAAGCTGGCAGTCACTGCATCCGCTCCAGGTGAGCACTGGAAGCCAGGAAACGGAGAAGGGAGCACAACAGGTTCTTCCCTTACACTTTCAGTCCCAATAAGTACAGCTGCCTCTTGTGTGGGACTCCATCCCTTGGATAAGCTGGGCTTCAGAGCCAGTTTGGGCTCACAGTGTGATTGTGACAGTGAGCAGCTGGTCTGTTTGCCAGCTGGCAGAGTCACAGCCACCAGCTAGGGGAGCCCTGTGCCTGTCCTTACTGCTCTCTGCCCACAAAAGACCCTGCAGTGTGGCAGGAAGGCAGAGGGGACCTTGGAGCAATGTCCTGGTTGTTGGTCTTGGGCGCTGCAGCCACAGGGGCCGCAGAGCGGTGTCACTTGCTGGAACATAGAGGCTTGGGGTCTGTCCCTGTGAGGAGGCAAAGCACCGTGCAGGGAGGTGCTGTGGGGCTGGAGTTGGGGGTTTTGGGTGGGGAGTGGAGTGAAGGCCTCATTTGCTGCTGGAGCACCAGCCATGCTGCAGCACTGAGCTGCTGTACATGAAGCTAGTTATTCTGCTGGGGGCAGGGGTCAGATCACTGCTCTGGGCTTCTTCTGCTCAGCCCTGAGGAGACACTGCCGTGAGGGGTACCCGTGCCTCCCTTGCTTGCAGCAGCCAGCCCTGCTGTGCTTCAGTGTGTCCTGAGGATGGCAGAGAAGGATGCTGGTTGTTGGGCTCCAGTGGGACACAGACGTTGAGCGCTGGGAACAAGGATGCTCTGAGCGCATCGACAGCAGGCCTGAGTTAATACCGTGTCCTTTTCTGCATCCACCTGAAACAGGAGCGGCAGAAGAAAGCCAGGCTGCCCGAAAACGGCGATGGCTCCAAGGACTCCGACAGCTCTGCCGGGCGCCGGGGCAGCGCAGGACGGAAGCACGGGCGATGGCGAGGACGGCTGGACAGCCCCGGGGCTCTGGTGTCAAAGGTGGTGAGAGCTGTGACAGCGAGACACAAAGTGGGACGGCGGCTGCCGGCTGCACCGGACTCCAGCCGGAGGAACCTGACGGAGCCGCGCGGGGACGCCCAGCTGGCCGTCTTCCAGCAGGGTGACACAGGCAGCGTGGAGGGGGCGCCGCAGCCCACCGAGAACAGCTTCACCCCCAAGTGTGAGATCACGGGCAAAGATGCCCTCTCTGCGCTGGCCAGAGCCAGCAGCAAGCAGTGCCAACAGGAAATTGCCAACGTGGTGTGTCTGCACCGGGCCGGCAGCCTCATGCCTCAGTCTGTGCCTCGCCACTGCCCGCTCTCCGGTAAGTCCTGCTCACGTGCCCAGGCTGCCTGTGGGCATCTGGAGCATCCCGGTGAGATGGGTGGGCCCCCTCCTTCGTGCAGCCAGGCGGTCCCACAGGGCCCAAAGCTGCCTCAACCTGTTGCTGATTCCCAAATTTCTGCCGCCTCTGTAATCCAATTAAAGCTGTGCCAGCCTCCTTAAACTGGGCTGTTCATCCCAAGCAGCAGCAGTTTTAGGGATGGGAGCCAGGTGCAGCTGCATCTTCTGTTTTGAATAG